TTGCTCATAAGTAGCAGATAAGTACCTTCTTACCTCCAATCTACTCTCATGTTGTCTGTTGTCAAGGAGGAGTTGTGAGGGAAAGAGGTTTGAGGTTATTGCTTCCTGTCTCCACACCTTTAGCTGGTTTAGCTGAAGGAAAGACTTTGAAAAGCAAAGCACTAAATTCATCATCAAAACAACTTGTCAATTCAGTTATAGAAACGTCAGTCAAGGCGTTTTTTTTTGATACCATAAGCAAATATAATAGATGGGTTGACAATGTTTCTCTTTTAACCTAGTAGGTCTGACCTAAGTAGACTCACAAGAGGGAAAACCAAAATGGGGAGACAAAGAAATATGCCCCAAATGAAAGAATGATAGGAATGTTCAGAAAAAGGGCTAAACGAAATGAACAAGCAATTTATTAGACATAGAGTTAAAAAAAAATGGCTATGAGGATGCTGAAGAAACTTACTGAGCACTTTCAAAATGAGAGAGAAAGCATAAAAAGGACAGAGAAACAAGAGAGAGAGAGAGAGAGAGAGAGAGAGAGAGAGAGAGAGAGAGAGAGAGAGAGAGAGAGAGAGAGAATCAGCCAGAAATGAAGAATGCAAGGTGTAAATGAAGAACATACTAGATGGAATAAACAGTAGGTTGGATCAAGCAGGGGATCGAATCAGTAATATGGATAACAAGCTAGCTGAAAATACACAATCAGAGGAGCAAAAAATGGAGGCTAAATAACATATTACTAAACAATGAATGGATTAATAATGATATCAAGGAAGATACCAAAAGATACCTTGAAACAAATGAGAATACAAGAATCCCAAAATCATTGTGACATAGCAAAAGCAGTCCTAAGAGGGAAATTCATAGCATTATAGGCCTACCTCAAGAAACAAGAAAAATATCATATAAACAATTTAACTTTAATTTAAAGGAACTAGAAAAATGAGCAATAAACAAAGCCCAAAGTGAGTAGAAGAAAGGGAATAATAAAGACCAGAGCAGAAATAAATAAAATAGAGGGGGAAAAAAAGAAGAAAGAAACAAAAAATCAATGGAATCAGAGCTGGTTCTTTGAAAAGCTAAAAAAGATTGAACACTTCTAACATGACTCATCAAGAAAAAAAGACAGAGGACCCAAATAAATAAAATAAGAAATGATAGAGAAGTAACAACTGACATCAAAGTAATACAAAGAATTCTAAGAAAATATTACAACTATATGTCAACAAATTTGACAATCTAGATGAAATGGTTAAATTCATCAAACACACACACACACACACACACACACACACACACACACACACACACAATCTTCTAAAGCTGAATCAGAAGGAATCAGAAAATCTGAATAGAAAAATTACAACTAATGAAATTGAAGCAGTCATCAAAAATCTCCCAACACACATAAGTCCTGGACTGGATGATTTCACAGATGCATTTTACCAAACATTCAAGGAACTAACATCTATATTTTTCAGACTATTCCAAACAATTCAAGAGAAGGGGAAACTCCCAAGCTTATGTAGAGGCCAGCAATCAGATAAGAAGAATAAAAGGTATCCAAATTGGAAAGATGACATGAAATTGTATATAGAGAACCCTTAAGATTCCATAAGGAAGGGAAAATACATTTACAGTATTTATCTAAAAATCAGCATATAAACAGCATGTAAGTGGACCTGTGTAGTTTATACCCATATTGTTCCAGGATCAACTGAATATTTTTAAACACCATTTTGAAAATACTAGAATGTTATTTTCCACTTTATATATTACCTAGATCAGTTAAACTACAACTCTCTGAGAATCTTGCTTAGTTGAAAGTATCATGTCTGTAAAATTGAACTGAAAAGTTGCAGGAATTAATAGCTTTCAAATATTTTTTTTTGTAAATTAACTATATTTCTACAAGCTATGCTAAGATAATGGCCATTAATATAATGACAATGAGACCACTTTAATTCTAAGTACTCATTAATGATAGTGCCACAAAATTATTTAATTCCAGCTTATGTGTTTGCTAGTTTTTAAATTACAGATAATGATATCTCTTAGGGTAAATGAATGTGCTCAATTTACCATCAGTTTTCATTTATGTTTATTTTATACTTTCAAAATACAGCAAGTTCTATAATTTGAATAGCTTATTTTATGTGCTTCAATTCATTCAGCTTATAATTTATATTTCCTTGAGACCCCTAGTTTTCAAGCCTTTTGAGAGCAAGGATCACATGTTACACTTCTTTATATATTGCTGTGAAAATAATAGGATCTCATTAAATAACCAATAAGTGATGGTGATCTTGCTGTATCATTATCCACAGCTAAGCCTAACAGCCATCTCATTAAATCCTTATTCAAAATGTGTGTCTCAACAATAAGTTTAGCTTTATTTATTATTCATTCAACAAATACTCTCTAAGAGCATTAGAAAGTAAACATGCAAAGAATCAGGACTGAAACCAAGATGGCAGCATAGGTGAACACCTAAACTGCTGCCTCGCACAACAATTTCAAAACTACAACTAAAGGATAAAACAGACATTATCCAGAACCACAGGAAGACTGGCTGAGTGGAAATTCTACAACTAGAATGAAAGAGAAAAGCAGACTGAGACTTAGAGGAGCTGCAGGAGGCAGAGGTACTGAGGTGCACACACAGAGAGGACTGGCAACTGAGAGTGTGGCTGGCTTTCTCAAGGGGGAGGGAGACAAGAGCTCCTGACTGCACTGAACTCCAGTTCCGGGCGAGACTCTGGGGACCCAGACTCATTTGGAGAGAAACTGGACTGTCTGGCAGCGGGTGGAACTCGAGGACGGCTTTCTCTCAGAGGTACTTGCAGTGATTACCATGGAACACTGAGACACAAAGGCCTATTAGGGCAGGCCTGATGGGAAACCAATGCTGCTCTGCCCTTAGACTCAGCCCCATCCAAGCTGAGCACAGAGGCTTTTGCAAGTCTTGTCTCATAAGGGTGTCTCCAGCACAGAAGTTTTCCCTGCATAGGCACAGCTGATCCTCACAGCCAATTGGCCTGGAGTCAAGTCCTCCCAGTGATACCAACAACAGTCAAGGCTTACCTACAACAAGACTGTGCACACAACCCACAAATGGGCACACCAAGAGTGTTCACCTCAGGTAACTGGGGAAGCTGAGCCACTAGGCCCTATAGGACACCTAGCACACAAGTCACTCTGTCAACTCATGGAAGCAGCCAAAATGCGGAGACAAAGAAATATATCACAAATTAAAGAAATAGAGGGAAGCAAACTACTGGATATAGAGTTCAAAACCACAGTTATAAGGTTTTTCAAGAATTTTCTAGAAAAGGCTGATAAATTTAGCGAGACCCTCGAGGATATGAAAAAGGACCAACTATAAATTAAGCATACACTGACTGAAATAAAAAAATATTATACAGAGATCTAACAGCAGACTAAAAGATTGCAAGAATCAAGTCAAATATTTGAAACACAAAGAAGCAAAAAACACTCAACCGGAAAAGCAAAAAGCAAAAAGAATCCAAAAATATGAAGATAGTATAAGGAACCTCTGGGACAACTTCAAGCATACCAACATCAGAATTATGGGGGTGTCAGCTGATTTCTCAACAGAAACTATGCAGGCCAGTTGGGAGTGGCAAGAAATATTCAAAGTGATTAACTGCAAGAACCTACAACCAAGATTACTTTACCCAGCTATCATTCAGAATTGAAGGTCAGATAAAGAGCTTTAAAGATAAGAAAAAACTAAAGGAGTTCATCACCACCAAACCAGTATTATAATATATGAAACGCTGAAAGGTATTCTTTAAGAAGAGGAGGAAGAAGAAAAAGGTAAAGATAAAAGTTATGAACAACAAATACATATCTATCAACAAGTGAATCTAAAAATCAAATGAATAAAAAATCTGATGAACAGAATAAATTGGTGAATTTAATAGAATCAGGGGCATAGAAAGGGAGTGGACTGACAATTCTCAGGGGGAAAGGGGTGTGGGGGGTTCTGGAAGATACTGGACAAAAATTGTATACCTATGGATGAGGACAGTGGGGGGGCGGGTAAGGGCAGAAGGAGGGGTGGGAACTGGATGGAGGGGAAAAAAGAGGAACAATTGTAACAATCAGAATAATAAAGATTTATTAAATTTAAAAAAAAGAATAAAAAAGTTCAAGCTGTCTTGATAGGAAAAATCCAACTTGTTTTTTTCTGTGGTTTTGTTTTGCTTGGCCTTTTTCTTTGTGTACTTAGAAGAAATCATTGGGCAGGTTCTGATGGGAAGAATCAACGCCAGCAAGCAATGCCAGCATCTCCCTCTTTTACAGAAAGTTTGGGTTAGGCATTTATATTTCTGTTTACTGAGCCCTCCAGGAATTGTGTTTCTGTTACTAATATTTGGATGCTGTTATAATGAGCATTCAAATTCTTCCTGATTTAACTTTGAGAGCTGATATAAGAAAAAAAGATGAGACTAGGATTCCTTTGCAGAAAATTTTAAAAAGGAGGACTTGGTCGGGGAAACTGAGTAAGGCTGGAGAGAAACCTTAGATCAGTGTTTCCCAAAGTGTGGTACGTGTACCCCCAGGGGTACGGGAAGAGTTTGGTGGGGGTACGTGTTGCACCGGAGTTTGGTGGGGATATGCACTGCACCTCGCTTAGCTGAGCCTAATTCTACATTCTCATGAGTACGAGGGGTACTCAGCGTTATGAAAATTATAGAAGGGGTACACATATGTCAAAAGTTTGGGAAACACTGCCTGGAACCCACAGAGAGAAGGAGGGATTGAAAGGAGAGGAAGGGAAGAAAAACAATGTTACTGTACTCCATAGCATCTATTGTATATGCTCCAGTAGTTTGCTTAATATGTTTTGTCTAGCTAAGAGTGTGACACTTTCCCAAGATGCATGTAGGAGATCTGTTTATTTTGTTAATTGTTTTACTTTGATTTCAGAAAAAAAGTCTATATACCCTGTTCTAAACAAGTGATTTTTCCTCCTCCAGAAAACAAGATTTTGGTGAAGCAATCACCCATGCTTGTGGTGTACAACAATGCTGTCAACCTTAGCTGCAAGTATACCTACAACCTCTTTTCAAAGGAATTCCGAGCATCTCTTTATAAGGGAGCAGATAGTGCTGTGGAAGTCTGTGTTGTGAATGGCAACTACTCCCATCAGCTTAAGTTTCGCCCAAAACCAGGATTCCACTGTGATGGGAAATTGGGCAACGAAACAGTGACATTCCACCTCTGGAACTTGTTTGTTAACCAAACAGACATTTACTTCTGCAAAATAGAAGTCATGTATCCTCCTCCATACATAGATAATGAGAAGAGCAATGGAACCATTATCCATGTGAAAGGTAACATGCCACTCTACAAATGTACCACTTTGAAGAAATGGTTTTCAACTGTAGCCTTGAAAACTAGGTCCTGATGAGTAGTGGGATTGGATAAATCCCAAAGAGGATGTCTGCACATTCTAAGCTTGTGATATTTTGCCTGTTTTGGTCCCTCTCACATCCTATATAATAATCCTATATATTAAAGGGGTAATATGAAAATTGACCATCTCTCCAACACTCACAAGATGGCCACCCCCATGTAGTCAAGGATGGCTGCCCCCATGTGGACACAAGATTGTCAGCAGGAGAGGGCAGTTACAGGCAATCAGACTGGCAAGGAAGGATAGTTAGGGGCAACCAGGCCTACAGGGGAGGACAGTTAGGGGCAATCGGGCCGGCAGGTGAGCAGTTAGGCGTTGATCAGGCTAGCAGGGGAATGGTTAGGGGGTGATCAGGCTGGCAGGAAAAAGCAGTAAGGGGTAATCAGGCAGGCAGGCAGGCAGGTGAGTGGTTGGGAGCCAGCAGTCCTGTATCGTGAGAGGGATATCCTACTGACTATTTAGTCCCAATCCCAGTAGGTATGATTGAGAACCCATGGCTATGGCTGCCCAACCCCACTCAGCACCAAGTTTGTATGTAGTAAGTATAGGCCTACTGGAATTGGGCCTAAATGGGTAGTCGAATATCCCTTGAGGGGTCCCAGATTGGAGAGGGTGCAAGCTGGGCTGAGGGAACACCCCTCCACCCCCACCCATGAATTTCGTGCACCGGGCCTCTAGTTCTTCCATAATGTTCAGAAGGGAAAAAATGTATTCAAGCGTTGCTCCCATGTCATTTAATGCACTCTATTCTATTTTTCAGAGAATCATCATTGTCCAGCTCACCCAACTCCTGAGTCTTCTAAGCCATTTTGGGCACTGGTGGTTGCTGTTGGAGTCTTGGCTTTGTATAGCTTGCTAGTAACAGTGGCTCTTTTTACTTACTGGGTAAGAGAAGCAGCACTGCTTTCATGCAAACTTTTCTGCCACATGTGATCTGATCAGATTTAAGAATTTTGCCTATGTAGTGTATTTTCTGTTTAACATGTGATATTTATTAGTTCCTTTTCCCTTGCTGGATTGAAGTAGGTTCTCTTTTAGCCTGTCCAACTTATTCTGAGATAAAAATTTGACAGGCATTCTATTTTCCAGAAGGCACTGGTTCAAACAGAATAAAAAGCTAAATGGTTAAATAAGGGTGGGGTACTAAGAGCCATTACTTTTTTTTTTCCTCCCCATTTGCAGTATCATTATGACATATAAAATAGTTTTAATGTACATATGTATAAAAAAATCTAAGCAACTTGGGAATCTAGACAACCGAAGTCAATGAAGAACTTTGGCTCAGGGTGAAAAATCATGAGAAATTTGGCTATTGAAATGATGCATTCAAACTTAGCAAAGAAACTAAGTCTGTTCTTCTGACTCATATTTTTATCTCCTCAGAGGCAGTTAAATTTTGTGAGACCAACTATGGTACTGTCATTATGAAACTATAATGAGAATTAGACTTTTCTGAGCTCTCATCACTGAATTGGAGCTTAACAAATTTGCAAACTTCATGCCTAAATGTGGTGCATTTTTTTAACCTACTTCAGCATTGAATTTTTTGCTGAGGTTTGAGGATATCATGATATCAAGCATCCACTAAGTATCCTAATGATCATATCTACTATTAAGAAGGGAACCTCCTTATCAAGGATCTTTTCCCATTTGGGGACTTCCTGTTCTTATATACACATTATTCTTATATAGAATAATCATGTATTGATTTCATTTTGTCTTTGAAATGTTTTCTGAAAGTTATATCCATGTATGAGTCGTTCACTCTTTCAACAAGAAAAGTATGCACCTCTTGGATAAAGGACTATTTCTCTTTATATTTGCCATCTACCTAGGATTAAGCACATTTAATACTTAGTGATGCTTAACCTCATAACCTCCTTTGAAGCCAAACTAAAGACTCAAATAAACAGGTCTGAAGTATAACACCCATCTTCAAGGCATACTCCATTTAGCTAAAGCAGACATAGGGAAGAGATTTCTGGTAGCCATGCCATGGGTAGCCATCATACTTATTACATACAGTCTTGGTGCTGGGTGAGGTTGGGCAGCCATGGGTTCACCATCACACCAATGATAGACACAATTTGGGCTGCTGTCACTCTCTTGTTGGCCTGTTCCCAAAGTTTCCCTCCTGATTGTTCCCCACATACTTCTCCCATTTTAGAAGATCCTTGGGGTATTCTGAACACTGTTCATGCTGCCTATTGCCCAATCTCTACCTTCTTCAGGGGAGGGAATAAAATGGCTGCTTGTTCCTGGAAATCCTTTATACTAGATATCATCTTGAGAATTTGCCTGCCAGTCTTGCCTTCTTCAAGTTGCCTGAGCCTGATGGGGGCTTTTTATGCAGTGAAATATCGCCTACGTTCTTCCTTTGATGTTAGCTCAGTCCCTTATCTTTCTGGATCCTTGTGTCTTCATTTAAGGTCCCTTCCAGCTTTGAACCACTGTGGTGTTTGCTAATGATTTTAGAATTTAGACTCTTAATTCTTGGTGTGTGTGTGTGTGTGTGTGTGTGTGTGTGTTTTTCCTGATCCCATAGGGAATGTCAATGTCTTAATTTAAAAGTCAGGTGTAGTGGCTTTTTGGGTACCTTTCCAGGGCAAGTGCTCCCCTATAATATGCTGACCTTAGACAATGTAATTCACTGACTTGGCAGGAAGTAGTTTTAGGAACTGCTTTAACTTTATATGGCCAGAAGGGTACTGATGAGCATTTAAAATTTATTGTTAATATGCATTAGAATATCAGTTACTATAATCAGGCACTAACTTGCTAAGTGGCTCAAAACAACCAAAGGGACAAATTAGCTTCTCATTTTCAAGGAGTTTTAACAGTTTACTTTCAGTTTGGAAACAACATAGGCACTATGGTTTTTCTTTGGCAGTACAACTAATATCCAGCGTGATTCATCTTGCTTTGTCTTAAAAAAATTATTTTTTTTACTTATTCTGTCTCACAGGATCCCTATGAACTGGGAAATTAAAGTGCTTTGTATATCTTATCATCTGTGGCCTCTTATAGTCAATTTGGTTACCCCATAACATATATCTATATTTCATAGTATAATTCAACATTTTCACCCTGGGCTCATCTTTTCTTGCAGCTGTTACTATTTAAGCAACTAGACCTTGCTGAGCTAGGCAGCCAGGCCATTAGGGATCCTTAGAGTTTAGCCATTTCCTGGGTCCTTTTTTAGGATCCCATTTCTGGCTGCTCTGCACTGTACCTTGGTATAAATTGCTGTTTTCCGGAACTTCCTGAGGGCTTGTGACGTGCTACTGTAGGCAGTTCTAAGCTGAGTGGGTTTTGGGGAGCAGCTGCAGATTCTATCTCAGTTCTTGACCTATTGCTGACATTTGAATAAATAAAGAGTTCCCCTTGGCCAGGCTGCCACAGATCAGCACCTGCTACAATCACTCAGTCCTTCATTTACTGAATTACCTTGTGTCATGCGACTGCTCCTAGGAAACAAATGGGTAAGGGCTGCAGGGTAGGGAAGGGCAAGGGAAGTGGGTTCTGAAATCATGTACGATATCATTAGCAGACATTTAATGGTGAAGGATCAGAGAGGTGACCTAGTCACACAGATACATCAGGTGAGTACTCTGCAAACATCTATGCACATGCTAGATGCACACGGACACTGTGGGTTCTGGATAGTGTTTCCAGTCATGCATGTGTCATTTCCATCCTACTGTTGTTTAAAATTAGGGTGATAATGACTAAACCCACCATCTGATAACTGTGAGAGTAGGCATGGGAGTTATCGCAGCAGATCTTTCATAGACTTTGTGTGCAACCTGGAGAACCCAGAACCAAGACATCTTCATTGTTGGGCCTTCTCTACCAGTTGTAGTTTTTTTGAGGGGTATCTGGGGACAAAGACTATCATTTGGGAATCGGGCAAGGGGAGTCTTCAAGGTTGGAATAAGCACTAAAATGCTTCCCAGGGTATAATCAGCAGCTTTCCACATTGACTTGGGAGCAGACATTTTCAGGTCCTGATTCCTGTCCTGCTGTAACCCTGTGCTCAAGAAAACTCCTGCCTTTCTTTTATAGAAAGGATGTAGAATCAAGATGTTTGAAGTGCAGCTTCCCTGATGCACTTGGTTTCCATGACTACCTCTCTCTGAATGAATCCTCCAATCATGTGTGTTTAACACTATCCTCTTCGTAGTTCCAGCTAAATAACTCATCCATCATCTCAAGTCCCAAATGACTAAAGCAGAATGTATAACTTCTTTCAAAGATATTTTTCCTACTGCCTTGCCTAATGCCTATGGATGGAACACCATCCTTCTAGTCACCCAGGCTCAAGTCATCTGTCATCTTGGGTATGAACAAGAAGGAGTCAAGCAGTCTCACGATACTCATGCTAATTTGATGATATGTGTTGTATCTATTGCTTCCTTTTCATTCCATTTTCATTTCATGACCAGATTCTAGATTAGAACGTCTCAGTCTTGGCGCTATTGACATTTTGGGCTGAATGATTCTTTGTTATTGGGGGGCTGCCCTGTGCAATGTAGACTATTTAGCAGCATCTTTGGCCTTTACCCACTCTAGATGCCATTAGCATTCTTCCCAGGTGTGACAACCCAAAATGTCTTCAGACATTATCAAATGTCCTCTAGGACAGAGGATAAGGAGCTGGAGTTGACAAGGCAAGAAGGTTTGGCTTGGGCAACTCTATATACGTAGTGTCACTCACTAAGATGAGAAATCCTGAAAGAGGACCTGACTTTAGGGGAAGATTTTGAGGGATTTTTATTGTTGTTGTTTGTTTAATCTTCAGCTGAGAATATTTTCCACTGACTTTTAGAGAGAGTGTAAGGGAGACAGAGAGACAGAAAGAACAATGACATGAGAGAAACACATTGATTGGTTGCCTCCTGCAAGCACCTTGATTGGGGCTGGGGCACCTGCAACTGAAGTACATGCCCTTGACTGGAATCAAATGTGGGACCCTTCAGTCTGCAGGCCAATGCTTTATCCACTGAGCCAAACTGGCTAGGGCTCTTTAGTTTTGTTTTAGATGTGTTGAGTTTAAAATGATTTTGAAGTCTAGTCTAGAGATATAAATTCGGGTGAGTAGATGATAATTGAAGTTGTGAATGTTGATGAGATTGCCTAGGGTGAGGATGGAGTTACGAAGAGAAAGCCTAGGCCCTAGAACAAAGCTGTGCGGAACTCTAATACTGAATGGCTAGATACAAAAGGATGAGCTTGCAGAGGCCAGAAAGCACAGTCAGGGAGGCAGGATGAAAACCTGGATGGTTCCATCTCATAGACGGCAAAGTGGAAGAGTGATTCAAAAAGGAGAGAATAATCAATAATAAAGAATGCTGCTGAGAGTTCAAGAAAATGAGGTCTGAAAACATTTACTCATATTTAGTAATGTGAAGGTCAGTGTTTTTTCAGCCTTTCATTAACACTTATTCATGCCCCTTTGACAAGGAAGGTGTGAAACACCCAGGTAGAAGTGCAAGGAAATAAGGCCAGAGCTGAAGTCATTTGCTTACTCATTTAAGCAAGAGTTCATATCTTTCATGTCCAACATTTCTACTTATGCATTAGGCCTATGTGCCAGGAAATAGGCATTTTTTTCCATAATAGAGAATTCTAAATCCAGAAATCTAGATGACTTTCTAATTTTAGAATTTTAAGGGTCTCCCCCCCCCCAAATATATAAATTTTACCATTCTATTGATCCAAAGAAGATACTCCTTAATCCAAACTTTGCTAAAATTCACGGAAGAATATCTCTTGCTCCAGGTTAATGAAGTATTATCTTACTTTTCTCACCCCTCGTAAAAATTCTTCTAGAGGGAGCTGAGCCTGAGGGCCAGGAAATGTAAATACATGTAATGAAACAGGAATATAACTAGTTGCCTAGATCTATCTTCCCATTTGGAATCCATTGCTATGAATTTATGATTCTATGAGTTTTATGATTACTCCAATCTCTGAAATGCTGATGGTCCTCTCGGGTTAATTATGAAAAACACACACACACAAAGATTGTTAAGCAAATGACTAATATAAGAAGATTGCAGAGGGGATGCTTGACCTTTGCAAAAGAGGAAGGACCTTCAAGAATATTTTATATCAACAGCAGATATGTAAATGAGATATGCTTTTGAAATTCAGGTTAAATGACTTCTTTGAGAGTAACATTTCTCTAAAATACCTTCTCTGATTCGGATTTTTCAAGTTAATTTAGAAGAGTCCAAAGTAGTTAAGGTTGATTAGTCAAGATTTAAGTTCAAAGTGCTTAATGAATTCTGGTGTTAGGCTTCATGTGACAGTTCATGGTCTGAGAAGTTGCCTCCAAAGTCTTAGAAATGACATCTCTCTCCATGTATCTGGCCCTTCACAATGACACCTCTTTTTTCTGCAGATGAAGAGTAAGAGGAACAGGGTCCTTCAGAGTGACTACTTGAACATGACCCCTCGGAGGCTGGGGCCTACTCGCAGGCACTACCATCCCTATGCTCCATCGAGAGACTTTGCAGCCTATCGCTCCTGACATGGACCCCTATCCAGAAGCCAGCCGGCTGACACCTCTTCACCTGCTCCACACCACTGCTCTGGATAGGAAAGGACCGCCTCATCTTCAGCCGGCCACCTCAGGCCCCTGTTGGGCTACAAAGTGACACATTTTCTTGACTGACTTGACCAAATAACATTATTTTTGAGAAGCCGAAATGAAGCTAAAGAATATTACTATGGCAGACTAAGTCTTGTAGTGCCACAACCAAATTGCAAACTTGCTATATATTTATTGACTTGATTGAGAGGCTAGGGCAGAAAATAAAAAGTGAGTGAATTCTGTTAGCCTTAAGGTCTGCTTACAGTTTTACTCCTTTCTTACCCCTCTGCATTGTGGTGGTCAAGTAAAGTGTGATATTGAAGGACTTTTTACTTTATTTTTTCAATATGTTTTTATTGATTTTAGAGAGAGGAAGGGAGAAGGAGAAAGAGATAGAAATATCAATGATGAGAGAGAATCATTGTTTGGCTGCCTCCTGCATGCCCCCTACTGGGTATCGAGCCTGCAACCTGAGCATGTTGCCCTGACTGGGAATTGAACTGTGACCTCTGGTTCATAGGTCGAGGGTCAATCACTGAGCCACACTGGTGGGCTTAAAACTTTTTAGATGGAGAAGAAAGGTTAAAAAATCATTCCTTTTTTGTTAAATGGGGGTTCAGGGTGGGGATAGGTTAGAGTAGGAGGGGAGGGGAGAGAGACCTTTTTAAAACGTGAAAACACTGTCTTTCACTCATGAAATGAACCACTGAGCTCTTATTTAATGTTGTTTTCCTTTTAGTTTAGAAATATGTAGTCATTATCTTTGATGATTTCTGGTCATATTTAGTCATTTTGACCAATGGAATATCTTCAAAGCAATGCAAGTTAAACTGACTTGCTTTCCTTATTCCCTATGATGGAAATTCAATGTAATTTTCACAGTATGATTAAAAAAAAAAATAAAGTAGTCTTCCCATACCAAGGAAGAATATATTTGGAAATAAGGCCACTTGATGCTAAAATTATTTAAATATTATTAATATTCCAGTCAACTTCTATAGGGACTTTTCTGTTCCATATATTCCAGGTTTGCCTAGCTGGTCTCTTTATTGTCTGCATGGAGATCTGAAGTGGAATGTTGAATGCACATCCATAGGGAAGTGATGATACTGTGAAAAAGGGATGTTAGCCTTCATTGGGGTGCGGGGAAGGAGAATAGAAAGGAATGACTTAATTCTTGTCATGTGCTGAGGAATATACCGGTGACGATTTTCCAGAAGATGGCAGGCGGCAGGAGCTCTCATGAAAGCTTCTTTTCAGGATCTTCAGTGCTTTAGGGCTCACAGCTTCCTAGGATTCAGGTACCTGGAGGTCCATCGATGTGCGAAAAGTATTCTGGAATATGTCTTTTGAGACAGCATCGAAGTTCTCAAGATACCCTGTAAGGTCTGACCCTGGAAAGACTATGGACATTTTTCTACATCCAGTTTGGGTCAACTGGTGTGTGCCTGGGGACATTAGAGAATGGCTCTACTGCTGCCTTTATGGTTGTTCAGTGCTTCAATGTTGGAGGAGTCTAGGTTTTAGAGGCAGAGAGACCTGGTTCAGGTTCCATTGCTAGTTGGCCTCAGGCACATTGCTGTCTTTCTAAGACTCTGGTTCTTCAACTATAAAATGGAAATAATGATCACAAATATCTGTCCCTATATTGTAATTTCCTTGAGGACATGGCCATAGTTTGTCTTTTTTTCTACTTGTTCCTGGAACTTAGTACCATGCCTGGCATGTAATTTTATTTATTTTTTTTTTTTTTCTTTTCTTTTTACTTTTTATAAGTTTTTATTGTTCATATTATTACAAGTGTTCCTTTCCCCCCCTCCCCACCATTGCTCTCCTCCACCAGGTACCCACCCCACCCTCTGCCCTTTCCCCTCTCCCCATTGTCCTCATCCATAGGTGCACAGTTTATGTTCAGTCTCTTCCCACGCCCCCCTCTCCCCTTTTCCCCAAGAATCGTCAGTTCACTCCCCTTCCATACCTCTGATTCTATTATATTCAATAGTTAATATTATTCATCATATTTTTTTAATTTCCTTGGTTTTTAGATTCACTTGTTGATAGTTACGTATTTGTTGTTCATAATTTTTATCTTTGTTTACTTTCTCTTCTGAAAGAACCCCCTTCAGCAATTCATATAATTCTGGTTTGGCGGTGATGAACTCCTTTAGCTTTTTTTTATTAGTGAAGCTCTTTATCTGACCTTCGATTCTGAGTGATAGCTTTGCTGGGTAGATTATTTTTGGCTGTAGGTTCTTGCTATTCATCACCTTGAATATTTCTTGCCATTCCCTTCTGGCCTGCATGGTTTCTGTTGAGAAGTCAGCTGACAATCGTATAGGTGCTCCTTTATAGATTACTACCTTCTTTGCTCTTGCTTCTTTTAATATTCTCTCTTTGTCTTTTGCTCTTGGAATTTTAATAATGATGTGTCTCGGTGTGGTCCTCTTTGGATTCCTTTTGTTTGGAGTTCTGTGCGCTTCCTGGACTTGTAAGTCTAGTTCTTTCACCAGGTGGGGAAAGTTTTCTGTCACTATTTCTTTCAGTATGTTTTCGATATCTTGCTCTCTCTCATCTTCTGGGACCCCAATAATTCTGATGTTGGTTCGCTTGAAGTTGTCCCAGAGGTTTCTTACATTATCTTCAATTTTCTGGATTCTCTTGCCTTCTAGCTTCTGTGGAGGAGTGTCTTCTGGCTCTTTATGTTCCAAATCTTTGACTTGATTCTTGTGATCTTCCCTTCTGTTTTTAGGACTCTGTAAAATATTTTTTATTTCAGACAATGTATTCTTTATTTCTTGTTGACTCCTTATTAATTCTAGTTGATCTCTTTTCATATCCTCATAGGCCTTATCCATCTTTTCTAGGAAATTCTTGAAAAACCTTATAAGCGTAGATTTGAACTCTATATCCAGATGCTTTTTGTCCTCCATTTCTTTCGTTTGTGATCTATTTTGTTGTCGCATTTCGCAGTTACAGATGGGACAGGGTTTCAGGGTGGAGCCTGCAGCTTTGGCTTCCGTCAGCCCCGCCCTATGTGGGTCCGTCAGTGCTCGCTGCTGGGGCCTCTGAGAGAAAGGTGCCCTCGATTTTCGCCTGCTGCCAAACAGTCTATGCTCTCCCACAATGAGCCCGGTATTGGGGTTCAGTTCAGTTGGAAGTGGAGTTGGAGGTGGCGTTCAGAGCAGTCTGGAGCCCCTGTCTCCTTCCCGTCAGGGCAATCCCACGGCACAGCCGGCCGGCCCTTCTCTGCGTGCAGTGTGCGCGCCTCTGGGACCTCCTTTCGCCGCTTCCCCGGGGTTCCGCCTTACAGCCCGGCTCCCTATGGCTGAGCCTGAGTCCCCGGGGTCTGGCTTAAAACTGGGGATCAGAGCAGTCGGGGGCCCAGCACAGTCGGAGTTTTATCTCCTTTCCGCTAGGGAACGCCCGTCAGGCACTTGGCCTCCCTCCTCTCCGGCTCCGTCCTCTCCGCAGGCGCCTCGTCTCTGTACCTTGGGCTTTTCCAGCTCCTCCGCGCCTCCTTCTGGTTTTCTCCTTGCTTCTCGCTGTAGAATTTCCAGTCAGTCAACCTTCCTGTAGTTCTGGGCAATGTCCGTTTTATATTTTAGTTGTATTTTATTGAAATTGTTGTGTGCGGCTGCGGCTAGGTGTTCACCTGGGCGCAGCCATCTTGGATCCTGGCATGTAATTTTAGCCATTATTATTATTATTATTATTATTGCCATAGATATAAGTTATGTATAACAATTACACTGGACAATGACCTAAGAAGGGAGAGAATATTATTGATATAACACAAATTTAAACCCATTATCCAGGAATGAGGTACTTATAAAATTTGAGAGCCTCTTAACTTCCACCATTATCCTGTTTCAGATTATTTTGGCTTGTAATGAAAAAATGTACAGTCTTCCACCTCACATTTTTATGTATATAAATAAGTTTCTTTAAAATTTTTTTGTGTGTTGTGGGGAGAGATAAGAATATTATGATTCCAGGCAGAAAATATTGTACTTTGGTTGATTTTTAAGTGGGCTCCTTTTCCATTAATTTAATTCATCTGAAGAAGGCCAAGCCCAGCAGTATTTGAGTGACAAAGAACATTTGAATTTAAGTTGGCAACTGTACCCTTTTGCCAGTCTCTTGGCAAACAGAGATCTGTAATCTAAGTTATCAGAATGGATTTAAAAATGATAGAGCTGTAGAATTTGTAGAAAGGGCAATGGCAAAACATAAATAAATAAAAAATAAAAATGGAAAGATTTGATCTTTGGCAATACCCAGTTTTATTTTCTGATGGGAAAAACAGGTTCACTAACGATGAATCACACTTCAGATTCTTCTTACTCACTTTGAACAGAACCAAAGTAGAAGTGTTAACAGGGAAGTCCTTTTTCACTATTAGTGTGAACCAAGAAATGGTTTAAAAACAGTGGTTGGAGCCATGCATTTACAGTTTCAGATATGGTACTTATGAAGAAAACAATGTCCTTTGCTGCTTTTATTCTAAGAGTTTTATCCTTGGTATTTCTGTAAGTTTTTTTATTGTGAGCTTCCTTATTTTGGGCTGAACATGCCAATTTAAAGAGGCCAAGTGTACATCATGTTCTGTGTATTCAGTAATAAAATTACTGAACTCTCACGTGCCTGCTTTTTAATTCGTGCTTCAATGTTAACGTTCAGAGCAGATATGCTTCACCTTTGGCAACACAACTAGAGGAAACTTTCTATGTGTTTTTTAAAATGTTTATTAAAAGGATTTAAATAAATCCTTTTCACAATCTTTAGTTTTAGCCTTTTCAAAAAAACCCATACTTTCAAATATTCTCACTTCAAGCAAGGTATATTTCTACCTTGGCTTCCGTTACAATTTCTCATCAAAACATTAGTTTATATCTCTGCGATGTCAGGCCGGGCTTACCTGCGCATTCTGTGTGATGTGAATCTCTCTCCTACAGGTCAATGAATACTTTCTGACAGATTGCTCCTCAACAGCAGACATGTTCCCTCTTCAGAACCTTTACCCATATATTTTTTTTCCTTCTAGAATGCCCTTCTCTAGTGATCTACTTGGCTTGTTCCCTCATTTCCTTCAGGTCCCTCCTAGTTAATTTCCCCCAAACTCTATCTGCTTTCCTTGCTTGTTTTTTTTCACCCCCACCATCTCTTACACTAGATTTTTTACTTATTTATTTACTGTTTGTGTCTCCAAACTAGAATGCAAGTTCCATGAGGGACAGAACTTTGCTTTGTTTGTTGCCATGTCCCCAGTGCCTAGAACAGTGCCTGGCATGCAATAAGCATGTATTGGCTGACTGAATGACTCTCACATACCCTAATGAATCAGTGGTTAATCTAAATGTACCCATCACACTCTGAGATGGAGAGAAGCACTTCTGTTTTCCACTTTCCTATTAATAAGTTCAAAAAATGCATTTGTTCTAATGGAACAGGAGGTAAAATATATACAATGAAACCTGGAAAAAGAAAACTTCCTGGATATGAGGTTAATTTATATTTTTGTGCAGTGAGTAAAAACAAGATTTAGAGTAATCTTAAAAAGCCACGCTAAATAAGCCACAGTCAAGAGTTAAATTGATTTCCCATTGAAGTCTCCAAATTTCCTCTTGACAACATTTTGAACACGCCTTTAGCATAGGACTTCTAAAAATGT